ATCTTTGACAAAGGAGCAAAGACTATGCATTGGAGCAAAGAAAGTTTGTTCAATAAATGGTGCTGGGAAAACTGGGTCGCTACATGCAAAAGAATGAAGCTTGACCACTACCTCACACCATACACAAAAATCAACTCAAAATGGATTAAAGAACTAGACATAAGACCTGAAACCATAAAATATATAGAAGGAAATATAGGCAAAACACTACGTGATTTGCACATCAAAGACATCTTTACAGACACATCACCCAAAGCAGTGATAGTGAAGGCAAAGATAAACAGCTGGGACTACATCAAATTAAAGAGCTTCTGCACAGCAAAAGAGACAATAACAAAAACAAAGAGAAACCCCACCAACTGGAAGAAAATTTTTGCACCCAACACTAATGATAAAGGACTGATCACAAAAATCTGCAAAGAGCTGATGAGACTCAACAACAACAAAGAAAATAATCCAGTCAAAAAATGGGCAGAAGAGCTAAAAAGAAACTTCTCTGAAGAGGAAATGCAAATGGCCAACAGGCGTATGAAAAAATGTTCAGCATCACTTGTCATCAGGGAAATGCAAATCAAAACTACCATGAGATACCATCTTACACCAGTGAGAATGGCACATATTAAAAAAACTAGCAACAACAAATGTTGGCGAGGGTGTGGAGAAAAAGGAACTCTTCTTCACTGTTGGTGGGAGTGCAAACTGGTCCAACCACTGTGGAGAGCTGTGTGGAGATTTCTGGACCTACTAAACATAGAGCTTCCATATGATCCAGCAATTCCACTCCTAGGTATTTACCCAAAGGACACAGAAACATCAATTCCAAAGGACACCTGCACCCCTATGTTTATAGCAGCACTGTTTACAATAGCTAAACTTTGGAAACAACCCAAATGCCCAAAAATAGATGACTGGATCAAGAAGATGTGGTACATATATACCATGGAATATTACTCAGCATTCAAAAAAGATAAACACATGCAATTTGCAGCAACATGGATGGCACTGGAAGGGATCATGTTCAGCGAAATAAGCCAAAAAGAAAAAGAAAAATACCGGATGGTCTCACTCATAGCAGGAATCTAGAAAACTTAAATAAGGGACCAGGAAAACAAATAACTATAAGAAAGTGAAAATCAAAATCAACAAAAAACTATGAACCAGAGACACTTTTAAGGGGGCGGGGGTGGGAGGGGAGAGATTGGGGTCAGAATGGGGGGGCTGCAATTGTATGGGGAATATAAAAATAAAATTTATTATTAAAAAAATAAATAAATAAATCTTTCAGCTGAAAAAAAAAATTAAGCTTTTAAAAGTTTAAATTTTACAGAGTTTCTTTTATTTTTGTCCACATTCTCATCATGGCCCAGGTAGGACCCTTGTAAGAACCTGGGGTTCCATCTTGGGAGGATGAGAGGGTTTATATAGTCTTACTCTGAAATTTTTCTCCTTTAGACTTCCTGGAAATTACAATCTATCTGACTGATCCTGGAAACATAAACAATATGAGGATGCATCTGGCTCTCACAGACACATCCTCTTTCAGAAACAGCATTGAAAGAATTTGCATATTTTAGAATGCTTTTGGTACCTCTCAGGAAAGAAATGGAAGTTGCCTCTCAGCTCAGCATCTAATTCCTCACATGATCTTTACCTCTCTAAGTCTTTGTTCCCACATGGATGATGAGTTTCTATCTTCACGTTTCTATTTCCTTCCCAATCTATAAGCTCCAGATTCATTCATAGCTACTGGACTATTAATTCATTTGGCATCTCCTTTCCATTTATTTAAAAGTGCTTATTATTATTTCCAGTTATTATTAGACTGCTCCTTCTTGCTCTTCTGTTGAAGTTTCAGATTATTTTATTTTGTCACTGATAGAATATGCCAATAAACCTTTATGATACAACATTTAGATCATCCCAAGAAGTAAGATGTTACTAACACCATATGGATTATTTCCAGAGAATATTAGTGAGAGCTCTGTTAAAATGAATGAAAACCTTAAAAGACATGGTGATGAGAAAAACACAAGGACCCTACCATGACTAACTATTCAGTTTGAGGATGGGATGTTACTTCACTTTTCTGGGGAAGTGGAGGAAGACTCAGTTTCTTCTTCTGGATAATGAAGAGGCTGGAGGAGATAACCTCTAAGAGCCCCTACATAACAACAATATAGTTTTATGCCAACAAAAAATTAAACAGCACTAAATTAAAAATATTTTCATTGATTTATATATTTCAAGATAAGGATACTCAAAGTTTTAATAATGGAAGAGTTGCACAAACATATGCATTTCTTCTCAGTATTAAACTCCTTTCACATTGCACTGTTTTAGAACTTGATTTGAAAAACTTTGGATTTGAAGAATTCCTGAAAGCTGGACAAAAATGAATAGCCTAATTTAACGTCAATCTTAAAAACCTTATGTCTAAATTTTCTTAAGAATACTATTTTAGGGCCTCCCCCGGTGGCGCAGTGGTTGAGCGCTGGGCTGCGAAGCTGCCTGCAGCCTCTGCAGCGCAGGTTCCATCCCCCGCCACTGGCAAGGGTCCCACATGGTGTGCAGACTCAGACCTCTCCTGCCGTGCCCACTACTCCCCTCAGCAGTGTATTTCATCAGTCTTTCTGTTCTGCTCCCCACTCTGGCTCTGGTGAATTCTCTCACCCTCCTGCACTTCTGACTGTACCCAGTGCTTTTATAAATAAATAAATAAATCTTTAAAAAAAAAAAAAAAGAATACTATTTTAGGGCTTTCCTGGTGGCACAAGGGGTTCAGCACCGCACTATGAAGCAATCTGCAGCCTCTGCAGCACGAGTTCGATCCCAGGCCAGCCAGGGAGAAACCCACATGGTACAGCAGACCACTCCTGTCTCGCCTGCTGCTCCCCTCAGCAGTGTACTTCAGTCAATCTGCCTGTTCTGTTCCCCGCTCTGTCTCTGGTGAATTCTTTCACCCTCCTGCACCTCTGGCCTGTACCCCAGCTCTTGTATGCATAAATAAATAAATCTTTAAAAAAAATACTATTTTAGAGAAATGCTATCTCATCTATTACACAATGTACTAGTGTTTCATGAATTCACCGTAACTTAGAAAGATTTCATGGAGCTTTCAAGAATGAACGATAACAAGAAAATTTTCACTATCAAAAGTAAGTTGTGTTGCGAGCACAAGGTATGTTTGAATTTTAATATGCACCAAAACTCATTAAAAATTTGACAAAACAGGGCCCCCCCTGGTGGCGCAAGTGGTTAAGACTCAGCACTATGAAGCTGGCCACAGCCACTGCACCATGAGTTCAATCCCCAGCAGGGAAGTGACCCACATGGTGCAGCAGACCTCTCCTGACTCACCAGCTGCTCCCCTCAGAAGTCTATTTCAGTGCATCTGCCTGTTCTTCTCCCCACTCTGTCTCTGGTGAATCCTCTCACCCACGGCATCTCTGGCCTGTACCTCAGCTGTTGTATGCATAAATAAATAAATCTTTAAAAAAATTGACAAAACAATATTTCCATCACAAATAAGCTGAAATTACTAAAAGAATCATAGTTCAATAAATTCAGGGCAGTGAAGAAATCTTTCCCTTTCATAAAGATTTTTAATCTGCGTTGTTTTGCTAAATCACATGTAGCCCTTTAATGCCAAGAATTCCATTACTTCTGGCTTCTCAAATTATATCCCATATCCTCATTGGTTATTTATTAGCCACTCAAGAGGAAGGTCCTAGTACAATGAGGATGGGGAAGGACAAGTGACTGGAGCTTAGGGTTTTAACAGCTGACAGCTTTCCCTCCTTTCTATTTCTGCTCAACCTGACTGAGTTTTCCTTCAAATGAGAGTTTTATTATGTGCTTTAAGACTCTTAATACAACGTAATTTCACTCTGCTCTGAATAGTTCAACACACTAGTGTCCTAAAAGAAATGACACTGAAACTTCTGCCTCATCTCTCAATTGTCTCACTGTGGGATTCAGTTAAGGCGTAGGATTTCTTATGGTCTCAAATCATGACTACATTGTTAATAACAGGACATTATATGGTTAGCATGTAAGACGTGCATTGATCCTGTTCCCTGAACCTCAGGAATATAAGTCTCCAGAACTTCCAAAATAAAGTGAAATTAAAAAGTACAGTCTTTGTTATGAAATATAGCAACTCCTCACCTGTACCTGAGATAATAATGGTAATGCAAACTATTTTATCAATCACATCAGTTTTACAACTACTGATGTCTTATATTTTACTTGAAGAAATGGAGTACAGACTGGAGAATCTGTTACATTTTATGAAACTTTCTGGCACAGAAACAGCATTACTTTGGGAGTTTAAGATGTTAAATGTTTCCACACCTTGGCCTCCAAAAATATATGTAAAATAAAACTAATCCCAGTAGTTACAAATTAGAGAGCCTGAATTCAAGCTAAGAAAAGTCCTACATGAAGAAATTCTTGTGTGTTATAAGAAAACAAGACTTCTTCCGCATAACTTAAATGGATTTGGACACAATTATTCCAATAGGGAGGATGAGTACGTTTCTGCAAGTTTTCTTCTTGAAACTAGTTGACATAAGAGGATTTATTCCATATATTTTAAAGTGATATTAATTCTAGAACTCTACAATGCTCATCAGCCCCTACTGTGAAAGAAGGCTGTTCTTTGTGCCTGCAGAGCCATCACTTCCTAAAATCTATCCTTCTAAAAACAAACAGCTCTCCTGGTTTGCGTCCCCACATGACAATGGACCTGTATCTGTCAACAGACTTGCATTAAGGTGCCGCGTGAGAACATGACTGTGGCATTTACTCTGTGACAAGGCAAATTTTGGCAGCTCATCTGGAAAGAGATGAGCATTCTTATGCTGCAGCACCTTTCATCAAGCTAATGACATTTCAATCAGCACATTTACTTCAGTTTCGGTACTTGACCATCTGAGCACAATTCTCTAATTACACGCAAGCAACAAGTTTCACATCAATCCTACAATTTCTGCACTCACCGTACAACATAGCTCCTCCAGTTTCATGCAAGAAGCGAAATCGATGATTTTTAAATAACCAGATTGTCAAAATGGTAAGGATGAGCAAAAAATTAAAGACAAGCAGCTCCACCGCTCCCTGATGTTGAAAGTGATACTCATCTTTCTCTGACAAGAACCTTTGCTGTCTCTCCATACTCCAATCTTCTCTGGATTCCTTAGATAAAACCCTGGACTAGGACTATTTTATCAAGGTTTACCTAAAACAGTCTGGCTGCCTGAGAATTTCAAAGTAAACACTGCCACTTAAGTTGCTACTTCAAGAGCATTCTGCCTTGGCTTAGTATTCAGATGGCTTCTAGTTACAACTTCCTGTTTCTCTCTTAAAGCAGCCCTGTCTCTTTTCAAACTCCGGAGTGTGCTTTCATCAGGAACTCTCACCGTCTTCAAATGATTCATTCCAAGAAATTATCTTTCATATTAGACAGAGTTGCAAGCAATCATTCTGAGATCGTGAGTTATGATCTTTTGTTTCAAACAGTCTCCCGAAGCTGCATAACTGGTGAATTGTAGATTAATTAAAAAAAAAAAAAGGACACCTTACATCAGCAACATTTTCTAAGTTCAAAAAGCCAATTTCAGAATTACAATCTCACGCACATATGAGGTCTTTCCGACCAAAACATACCATTGTGATGAGGATTGATAGCTCTGGTTTGACCTAAAATGATTGACATTTTTTTTTTTTTAAGGTAAGAACAAAAAAGGACTTAGTATATGCCTCTGTTTGGGTTAATACAACTGGTTGTCACAAGTGCAGCATTTAAGCACTGAATCTATTATTTTTCTTTTAATGAGGATAAGTGGAAACAAAAGACAAAGAGTAAATTCTGTTCCCATCTCTGCAGCTGTGACACTTAGAAACGTTCAGTTTAAAAAAAAAAAAAAAAAAGGATTCTATATTTTTGAAGGAAGAAATCATACGCCATATTCAGCAATGTCACATCCAAGGGTTTCTTTTTGTAGAGCTCTGGCCCAGACCTTCAGGAACCACAAAAGTCTGTGCAAATCACAAAACTCTGTCCTTTAGCAAAACAGTGTGGACCACTGAGGTCTGCCACAGGCAATGAAGACTTGAAAATCAAAGGACTCAGACATGACAGTGGTGATTCTTGAGATCCTCTTCCATTTGGCAGGCTGGCCCTGTCTGAACTCACATTTTTATATTTGTTGAAAAACTCAAGGCAATACTACCATGGGATCGGCTGCTGGCTTAACCATTATTATGATTTGTTTGCCTTATGAGTCCCAATAGCTATTAGGCACATGCCAGGATTAGGTAAGGGTTTCATCACTTCATGATATTATTATAACTCAGAAGAATTAATCACTTAGCATTTTCACACTTGACAGAATTAGTATTCAATTTATACAGTGTAAGTGATTCATTGAGTAGGATGAGTTCATATATATTCTCAAAAGATCTGGTCACCAAAAGTTAGAGGTCAAACATGTAATACATTGAGAGAGAACTAGTTCTTCAATAACAGATTCATCCACGGAGAAAGTCTATCAACCACTTAATATAAAACACTGCTGGGTCAGCTTCTTCGCCTTCTGCAACTTTTGAAGCTAATTTCCTCTCTGGGTTTAACTCAGCAGGGGGTGGGGTATTGATGTAGGCTGCAGATGTTATTTTAACACACTACCCATTTTGGCAGACATATCTGAGATGACTAATATTCAAACTGTTTTGAAATCTGTCAGCTAATGCTTGCAAGCATTTCATGAAGCTTTGTTAGCAGGTTCTACCTTCATAATTTTGCAACCCCACAGGTTCAGTCTTGAGTTGATAGATTACAAGATAATCCACATTTAAAACCTGACCGCTTCTTGTCTTTTTTTTCCTTGGCAATCATTAAACCACATTGGTTTCCTTTTACATCATTATTCCAATGAAGTAAAATAAACTTTTTTGGTTGTCTTATTATGACATCCAATTTCACTATTGCCCATCCAATGAAACAACTCGGTGAGATTAAAGGTCCATGGAATGTTTTGATTGGCTCATAGATTATCTTTAAAATTCCTAAATTTGATTTCAACATATACAAATGAGTTTATTTCACATAAAAAAATCTTAACTTTGTTAAAAATACCTATATATGGTATATGTTTTTATTTGGTTAAAAATACCTAAAAAATCTTAACTTTGTTAAAAATACCTATATATGGGCCTCCCCGGGTTGCGAAGCTGCCCGCGGCCTCTGCAGCGCCGGTTCAATCCCCGGCTGCTCCCTGGCCACCAGAGGAGGGTCCCACATGGCGCGCAGACCTCTCCTGCCACCCGCTGCTCCCCTCAGCAGTGTACTTAGGTCCGTCTGCCTGCTCTGCTCCCCGCTCTGGCTCTGGTGAATTCTCTCACCCTCCCGCACTTCTGGCTGTACCCAGTGCATGTATAAACAAAACAAACAAACAAACAAATAAATAAATAAATAACATGCCTCTATTAAAAAAAAAAATTATAAAAAAAAAAATACCTATATATCTGACACATTGGGCCCTCCTTCCTACCAGGCCATCATCTATTAGAGTTGCTCCATTTACAATCAGTTTGCACAAGTTCTATTTATCCCATTTCACTTGTTCCTTGAATGGCCCCTGTCATTCTTTGAATGTATGAACCTTGTTTTATTCCAGGAATTTATTGTCCTATCATCCAATTCTGATCCAGTCTAACATTAGGAAGGAAAGCTAAAAGGAAGGAGGGGACTCTGGGAACTCACCAATTCTTTCACTCAGAAAAGTATTTCAATATCTCTCGTTTTATCATTTTATTTATTTATTCATTTTTATTTATTTTTTTAAAGATTTATTTATTTATTTATTTATACCAGCACTGGGTACAGTCAGAAGTGCTGGAGGGTGAGAGAATTCACCAGAGCCAGAGCTGAGAGCAGAGCAGGCAGACTGATGAAATACACTGCTGAGGGGAGCAGCAGGCGTCAGGAGAAGTCTGCGTGCCATGTGGGAACCTTGCCCCGCGGCCAGGGATCGAACCAGAGCTGCAGAGGCTGCGAGCAGCTTCGCAGCCCAGCGCTCAACTGCTGTGCCAACCGGGAAGCCCTATTTATTCATTTTTAAGGAATTATTTATTTATTTTTGCGTAGAAGACCTGGGGTGCAGGCCAGAGGTGTGGGGAATGAAAGGATCCACCAGAGACAGAGTAGGGAGCAGAACAGGTCAATCTAATGAAATACACAGCTGAGGGTAGCAGCAGGCAAGACAGGAGAGGTCTGCTATGCCACATGTGGGTTACCTCCCCGGCCGGTGATTAAATTCAGGCCAGAATGGTGATAGCACTGGGACATAACCCTACGCCACCAGGGAGGCCCCTTCATATTATCATTTCATACTCTGCTGCACCAATAACAATAAGAAAATAAAATAGAAACATATCAATTTGGTGTCAACTTTGGATCAAGAAATATGCTATGAAATTTAATTAGTTTAATTCAATATGCATGATAAAATCTCTTCTACAGATGAGGGATTTAAGATTCAGAGAAGGCTGGTATATCCAAGATTGCACAGTTAGCAAGAGTAAAATTTATGTCTGGGGTTTCATTACCTAAAGATGCATTTCAGCTAGGGTGATCAACTCATCTTATCAGGGGCTTTCCTGATTTTCGAATTAAGTGTCCCATGAAACTCTTCAGTCACAAGAAAACAAAGATAGTTGGTCACCCTAGCTAACAAGTTTCCCAAATTTCCCATAACCTATATTGCCATTAATAACTGTTCTTTATGAGATTTCTGAGGCATTCACACAAAGAATATCAATAAAAACTAAGGGATTGTTCAAAAAATATAAACTCATGCCATTACAGCAATGTGGATGGAGCTAGAAGGAATTATGCTCAGTGAAATAAGTCAGAAGGAAAAAGAAAAATACTGATGGTTTCTCTTATAGCAGGAATATAGGGGAACCAAAGTAGACATCAATGTAAAAAAATAATGACAATACAAAACAAAAACAGACAATTATAAATCAGAGACATGCTGCAGGGGAGGAGGAGGGAGAGGGATCAGAGGGAGGGAGGGAGGAGCACAGGGGACTGAGGTGATGGAGCACAGGTGCGCTGGAAATTCTATGGAGACAACACCTGAGGGGGATGGGGGAAGCAAATATTGTTTGAAAATGGACAATGATGTAAAAAAAAATTTAAAAAAAAAAACCAGGGGAGGGAATGTGTTCTTATACAACGGACTATGGTAATGGTACACAGGTGAATTGGTGGTGGGAATTTTGTGGGGACTACACCCAAGAGGAGAAAGCATACATTGTATAAAAAGGAAGAATGATGTAAAATATATAAAAAATTAAGTTAACTTTTTAAAAAATCAAGGGATTGTTTTATTGGCTAGTAGCCCTTCATGTCAAGTTCTCTGATGAAGCTGGAATGGAACCCAAAATTTGCGCAGAATGCCACTAAGTCAAGGGTTCTTGTTGCAAGATGAAACAAGCAGATGAAAGGAAGTAAAGAGGAAAACAGGATAAGGAATGACCCAGCCGGTGTGCCCTGCCTCTGCTCGCTCATTCAGTGCTACGAAAGGAAAGAATTGAAGGGAGGCATCTCCCCAGCCAGGGCAACCTTGTGTGGCAGTAATCCTGCCCAATAGTAACTGTGATCCCCATAGCCTGTGTTTTGGAATCTAACCAGTGATATGAGAACTTAGTTTTGGAGAGGACAATAGAGACTGCAGGCTCAGCGGATTAAGAAAGGAAACTTTGCTAGGGTCAAGAGAGGTGCTGAGAGTTCTGGATCTCTGCTCCTGGAGCCACATCCCACCCAGTCTTGATTATGCCTCAACCATGGGACTTAACAGAAAATGCTCAAATCAACCCAGGCCCTGGGTCTGAGGAAAATCCCCCTGCCTCATTCACATGGCCTTTCCCCTAATATTTATTCCTCTTCAAAATCAGTGAGGTGGGAGTTTCCTTTGGCACCAAAACAAGATTACAATTAAGTTGATCTGTAGGCCACACAGTGCACTAAACCAAAACTTCACCCTTGTTCTATTTTCAAACTCTGAATATAGCCAAGTGTTAAAATAGTTAAATGAAGTGGCCATTAGACTGGAGTGGCTCTAATGCTTGGCGGCCCTAGTAGCAACCAAACCAGCATCAACAGACTAGAACCCAAGGAAACAGAAGAGCCAGTAGTCACAAGGAACCAAATAAGGCAACTGCTTAAGCTACAGCCAGTCAAATAATTTCCTGGCTTTGCTCATCTCTATAATAATATCTACTGGCTCCCACCTAGTTCCTAACCATTTCAGCC